AATTGACAGCCCAGCACCTGATAAAGATGCTTCAGTCAAATCTCTGGGAATTTTTCTGCAAAGAAAAGGGAAAAAAAATAAGAAACTCCAAGTGCCATCAAATGTTAGTATGCAGCATCATTAGCAACACAACATTTTCATTTAGTGTCAATAAAACCGAATTTGGAATACTGAATTTGAATTCTATTACTCTTAGTAGCCCTTCCTCTTTAATTCAAAAGTTCGCTAAATAGAATTATATTTTGAAAGGATTAAAGGAAAGAGGTCAACAACTAAGCTTGCCAATATTTCATTTTTCATCTTTCTCCTTCACAAATAAAATTTCAATCATGAATCACAAATATTTATAGCTTGTATAACTGTACGTCTGTCTATGGATGACTGTGGTTATCAAAAGATAGTTTTCCTCCAAGTCCACAAAAAGTGACAGTAGGTTTGGGACTGTCTCCTACATTCTTGAAACTCTTATCATATGGCAACAAACTAGGCTCAGCTAAATTCAGCCTCTTGCTTTGAGATGCAATAAGCTATCTCCTAACATCAAGATATTTCTAATCACTTCATGAAATGCATCACAATTGATCTTATCAAAACCAAGTATCGCTCTATTAGGGAACAGATTGAAAGGAGCTACCCAAGTTCTAAAATTTCCAGCAAAACAGCCTTAACCAGAGAACAATCCATGGAAATTACATCTCTCTGTCATGGAGTGGGCCAACTTTGATGGCTTTTAACAGTGGATGACCAACCTTAATGCCATCGTCGGACACAATGTACCGAGAGAGAGAGAGAGAGGTCAATTCGGAATGTATATTTAAGATCTTTTTAAGCATGCAATATTTGTCTTAAATGTTAATAAACAGTCTGAAGATGGGTATGGCAACTTAAGATACGATCAAGATACACGCGCCCCAAAAGTTCCTTTGCAACGTCTAAGTACTAGATCTAGAATACAAGGAAATGTGGAAAGCGTAACAGGCATGAAAAATTATTATTAAAGCTGCAGACATTCAAAGTAATATTACATCGTTAAGAAACAACACAGAAAAAGAAAATTGTTCCTGGCAAAATTGCAGACCAGGAAAAAAAATGAAAGCATTACTAAAATGATAAGATATGGCAAGGGCATTTGAGGAAAATCTGGTTGTTTGACAGTAAAAATATTCCACCAAATTAAAGATGGTAAAATGGTAGTTATAAGACAACGACTATATTACCAAATTCCTCAATTGTCAATCTAGGCCATTTACTTGATACCAATTATTTCCGATTTAATCCTAAAAATCCAGAAAATTTGCAACTTATTATCTTATTTGTTTTTTTCAGGTCCACCAATGCACCACACCGTAGACTACATTGTTTTGACTAAATAAATTTACAGCCTACGGCATCAAACAATCCCATTTCCAGGCATCCCATTTGAATAGTAAAATGGCATTTTCAAGTGAATTTATCCCAATTCACCGGACCGTATACCAAGTTATGTAAGTTTTTAACTGGATCCTCTCACGAACTCACCAAGTGCAGAATCATGTTACATTCACTGCGAACCACAATCCAACACCTAAGCACGATAAATAAAACAGTGCAACTCATCCAAAAATAATTACAGAATGAACCAAAACGTAGAAAAACATAGACTAACATTCACGACACAACAAATAATTGATGGGCTTTAGGGCAACAAATGATCCCAAAATTAGAGATTCATCACACGAAATTTGACAACAAAGCCTTCCAAACAAATTCATAAAAATAAACAAATAGAAAAAACTGTTACCTGTAAAAATCAACGGATTTGATTTTACTAGTCGAAACCATGGCTATTCTCCAGTACTCTGGAGAGTGTTTGAAACTGATAGATCTACAATAACGAGTCAATGAAATCTGCAGTCTATTAATATTTATACACAGCTGCAAAATTAAATGTGTAATTATTAATTCCGCTTAAGGGTTTTAAGCAGATTGTTCAATGTGTATCAATTCGCTAAAGCAGAAATGCTGGTGACTGAAATTAATGGAGAATCCCGAAAATTAGATTTGGGTGCGGATTGGTGCAGGGAAATGTGGCGTGAGATTTGTGAAGTGCGTGAAAAAGAGATCACTTTTATATATTACTTTTATCTTTTATCTGTATTTTTCTTCTGAAAAAAAATCCGTCGGTAAATAATAACATTAAAGAAAATTAAATAAATAAAAATTAATCTTTTAGTTAGTAATAGCCATTGTTTAATTCCCTTTAAAATTTTAATACATTTTTATCATCCTTCTTTTCAACCACACATTTTTTAATATAATAATATTAAAATTAAATCAAAAAAAAATTCCTTACTTTTAACCACATATTCTTCCAAAAAATTACTATTCCACAATATATTTTACCCAAATTTTTCATTATAATGGGTGTCAAGCAAGGGCATAGTAAAGCATAAATATTTTAACAAAATTAATTTATGAGATAAAATTTCATCAATAAATAAATTAATAAGAATGTAAATTAAAAGACTAGTCGAAATTTTGTTGGGAACGAAATAAAGTCGAAAATAACCTTATAAGTCAGTAATATTATAAAGAACGAGTGAAGAAACATTTTAACTTATTTGTCATTTTCTAATCAAAATAAAATATATAAAAGCAACATTTATGAGCGACTTCGAAGTCGTCTGTTGGTGAATCCCGATAATAAATTGTTATCAATAATCTTTGACGAATCTATATTGGTGATCACTAATAGTATTATGCCTCTCTTGACGAACTACCAGGTCATCATACACAGGCCACTCTTCGAGGCGCCAAAGTGCCTAACACATCAATATAAAGCAAGGCAGAATCCGAGGTGGATAGCGTTCAGTCCAAAATGGTGCAAAACAAAATCTGAGCCACAAGGCCCAAAATTTTTGGCATAAGATACGGATCTTTTCGGCAATGATCTATTCAAAACAGGGGTCAAATAATCTCACAAAATTTTGGTTTTTTTAATTTTATTTTATTTAGAAAATGATTGTTTTAACTTGTTTTCAACCCACTTTAACACATACCTGAGAAGCACTAACACGGACACGAGTGTCCGACAGGCAATTTTTTAAACAAGTTCCGACATGATACGTCGTCGACACCTTGATAATAAAATTATTATTTTTAGTTTATTTTAATTTTATAGTGTAAAGTAATAATTTTTTATACTTATGGAATCATATATATATATATATATATATATATATATATATATATGATAAATAGAAATCAAACTTGACATTAAATTGATAAATGTTTCTTAATAACATTAACGCGAGTTCAAAAAGTAAAAACAAAATTAATTACATCATTCATCTTGAATCTCTTCAACATCTTCATTTCCATCCGCAAATACTATCGCCTCCAATTCCGTTCGTCTAGAGATAAATTAGCAACTTCAAGCACACCAACATCTTCAAATGTATCAAATGCATCTCCTCCGATATCCTACATTTTAGTCTCTCCTTGTGAGTATTGCGCACTCCTCCTTGACAAGAGACGAAGATTACTATAGACGAAAACCAAATCTTCCACACGTTTTGGAGTTAGCTTATTTCGTTTAAAAGAGTGCAAAAAAAAGAATAAGTACTCCAATTTCACGCTCACAACACGATGAAGAAGATGGTTGCCCCAATAATTTTAAGACATAACTAATTAAAAGAAATTAAAAGAAATGACAATTCATTAAATAACTAATTAAAAATATCAAAAATTATGAAAACTTAAATAAACAATATATGTATGAATTAGATTTAAAAGTTACCTTGGATTTAGAGAATGAGACAAGCAATGAAGTGGAGTGTTATTTTTGTTTCAACGATCTACAAGTATCCGATGAACAACATTGTAGAATGATGATTCCTCTTTTTAAACTTTTTTTTCATGCCTAAAAATTATTCATCTCACTTTCTCAATCATTGTATCCCACATGTCGTAAACCAAGTAAAGACAAGGTTTATCCATATCACAAAATCTAAGCATATCATAAATGTGAGAAGTGAAGGAAAGAACATAATTTATAGAGTCCCACCAAAAATCATCAAGCACTTTTAATTTTACAAAACTTGCCTTCGTCATGTCATCTTCTTGATAAAGTGACCATTTTTCACTAATAACCAAAGCTTGAAGACCACGTTGGATAAGCTTAAATCTTTTGAACATGACAATAATAGAAGCAAATCTTGTTTCCGCTACGGAAAGCAACTTCAAAGGTACAGATTCATTAAACATTGCTAGTCTCATGGAATGGTTCATGATAAAAAAATTTATAATCATCACATCATCATGAAGACTAGTAATCCAATTGCATTCCTCATATGTGATCAAATTATTTTCAACATTCTTTGCGGCACAAATGTTCTTCAAAGCAAGATTTAGTGTATGTACAACACATTGTGTCCAAAAAATATGAGGATACTCCAATTCAATTATTTGCCCGGCACCTTTGCAATTTGGAGCATTATCGGTTATTACTTGAACCATCTTTTCACAACCAATTTCATTTATAACCTCCTTAATTAGGTTAGCAATAAAATATTTATCTTTTGTTTCACCGGAACAATCAACTGCTTTTAAAAACATTGGTCCACTCTCCGTCACCGCCATAAAATTAATTAGTGGCTTTCTTTGTGGATCAATCCATCCATCACTTACAATGGTAACTCCTTTTTCCCCCCATGTGCCCTTGATTGGATTTAATAACATTTCCACATTTTTTTCTCTCCTTTTGAAGAAGAGTAGTTCTCAACTAGTTATAACCGGGGGGCAAATGCCCGGAAATTCTACTATTGGAAGCAAAAGTATAAGAACTAATATAATAAGGATTTTTTGCAAGAGTAAAAGGCAAACCACTTGAATAAAACATTCTAGCAATTTCAAAATCCAATTGGTCACGTGTTGTCACATTAAAAGCATTTTCCATTACACTATTCTTTCTTTTCTTTTCCTCCAAAATATAACAATCCTTTGAACCCATATTATCCAATGGCAATGACACTCTTTTCCCCGCCTTAGTTTGCATTCTCAACTTGACTTCATCTTCCATTGTTTGCATTTCACATATATCTTTCATAGTTACTTTTCCACAAGCCTCAATTCCATAGCCTTTTAATTTTAACAAATGTGCCCTCACTCTTGTGTAAAAACTTGTCTTAGTTGCATTACAAAAATTGCATTGCCAAATAATGTTACCACCCTTTTGACTAAATTTATCAAGTTTTGTAACATATTTTCAAAGAGGATTAGACAAATCATCATTCATATCATTATCACTCATAACTTCAAAAGAAAAATAATTTCAAATACTTAAATAAGATAGGAGTGATATTACCTAAAACTTGGAAAATTTTCTTCTTCTTGATCTTGAAAATGATTCTTCAAATGAGGATTGAAAAAAATAAAAAAAATTGAAGTTTTCTTGCAATTTTTGTAACAGTGACCACTGGCCAAGGAAAAAATACCTTCTTATATAGATATGAATTATGTTGAGGGGTAAAATTGTACAATTTCATTCAATCAAAATATTATATATTATTTAAACAAAAGTTGCAGGCATTGAAAGGTACAAAAAATATATAAAATGGTACAAGATTTTACAATGGTGGGCCTTACAAATTAAATTATTCATTGGTATAGGAGATTTTCATTATTTATAGCCGTCCATTCTTCTTCTTTATTTTTTTTCTTCTTTGATTTCTTTTCTATTCTAGCTTCTTCTCTGATTTCTTTCCTGCTCCAGCCGTCTTCTACTCTGACTTCTTCAGTTCTATAGGTTCCAATGTTCCATTTTCAGGCAAGGTCTCTTCTTCTTCTCTGTTCTTTCTTTTTTTCTTTCCTCTTTTTTATTCTTCCTTCCCAGACAAGAAATTGAACTCCGATTGTATTTCTTCCTCCAGCTTCGATTGCATTTCTTCCCTTCAACTTAGCTACCCAACAACTGTCCAACACACTGCAAACAACTCCGACACGCGTCGACGACGTGTCAGAGGCGTGTTGGTGTTCGATACGTGTCAGACATCAATATGCTGTCACCGGCAGCGTGTGGGTGCTACATAGATACATACCAAATAAAATTGAAATATTGCATTCTCAATATCATTTTTAAACGCACTTGACCTAGTTTTTTACTTCTTAATGGTGTGCGAAATGATCAACCATGGCAAAAGTTACGATGTATCAAAGTAGGCCGTTCCAAATTAGTATTTCGAAATTTTCGATAATATGCTAACTTTTAAAATTTGCCGATGATCATATTCTATTCAAATCTACAAATCGCTTGCATCATCTAGAAGTTCGTTACGAAAACTACATCGTAGTCATATCGAATTGTCCAAACAGATATCGAAAATAGTTAAATATGCATCAAACGTACGTATTAAAAGAGACGTTTAACTCGTCTTTTTAAAAAAAATCAATTATTTCATTAACGTTTATTATTTTTTCACGATAAATTTTTCAATATAATTTACATCATTAAATTAGGAATTTTTACATTAAAAATGATGTAAAAAAATCTAAAATCGTTATGGATTAAATGTAATTTGAATTACTTTCAAATTATTTTTCGTTAAACTTAAATTTCATTTACTTCTACATCCAATTTGATTTATTCATCATTCGCTCAACATCCATAAATGACATGGTAAACAAAATTATACATATAACAAAATTTATTTAACAATATTGATAATGATAGAATTATAAGACACTTTCAAGATGTCAAAATGCGTATTAACTTATTTTTGTAAATATTATATTGTTTTAAAAAATTACACATTAATTTTTGGAGCTAAGCACAACCCACAAGGATGACCTCGCAAGTGACCGCGTCCTCACATGTCCGGCGGGGTCCCCATGAATAAAATAATCCCGACCCCATGTGTGTATGTTGTGTCAACCCCGTGGTCGTTTATGTGGGTACTGTAGCATGACTCTAATTTTTGACCTCACAATCCAAAACGGCTGGATCCGCCCCTGATCCAAAATAAAATGTTATGAATGATGGATGTGACAACTTTGCAGCAAATGTCAACGTGTCAACTGCAATCCAGAAACCTTAAATGCCCGCCCACCTATAGGGTGATAAATGGACGTCTACAAAGAGACATTTTGGACTGGTTGATGAAATCACGTGTTCTCCATCCAACGGTTGTTATTCTACATTTTTCTCTATGTATACATGTGATCTAAACCTTTATAAGGTAATTTAACTTCACAACCTAAATAACTACCAAAATAGGGTGCCTGTCAACGCAATATTTTGAATTATCAGAAGTCTACTGCATGAGTAAACATTAAAGATGCAAATGTAATAACAAAACAAAGATAGGAGTCAGAACTCAAGGTTGTCAAGCACCATCCTTTGATTGATGTGAAACCCTGTCAAAATTGTGTGAATTAAGTGTAACAACACCTTCACCATGTTCTTCGTCAACTTCCTCGTGCTGTATTGCTGTTGAAATTTGTCCTGATTGAAACTCAGAGCCAGTGGGCTTTAAGTTTGAATCTATTGAGTGCTTGCGGACAGTTTTAATTATATTTAACCTATTCTAGAAAAAATAGAACACCAGTTCAACAATATACTAAATGAACATGTTGCAAAATAAGAATTTTTGACAAAATAGAAACCATAGAAGAAAATGAGCTATATATTAAATTTCTTATCCTCCTCAATACATGAAAAAAAAAAAAAAGAAGATATATACATGAAGGAATCAATGGATGAAACCTACTGTTCCCAAGACAACGCTGACATCAATCACAAATATTTATCACTTGTACAACTGTACGTCTATCTGCGATTGACTGGGGTACTAAATCAAAAGATAGTTTTCCTCCAAGTCCCCCAAAAAGTGACAGTAGGTTTGGGGCTGTCTCCAATATTCTTGAAACTCTTATCATATGGCAACAAACTAGGCTAAGCTAAATTCAGCCTCTTACTTTGAGATGCAATAAGCTATCTCTTAACATCAAGATATTTCTAATCACTTCATGAAATGCACCACAATTGATCTTATCAAAACCAAGTATCGCTATATTAGGGGCTAGATTGAAAGGAGCTACCCAAGTTCTAAAATTTCCAACAAAAAAGCCTCAACCAGAGAACAATCCATGGAAATTACACCTCTCTGTCATGGGCTGGGCCAACTTTGATGGCTTTTAACAGTGAAGGACCAACCTTAATGCCATCGTTGGACACAATATACCGAGAGAGAGGTCAATTCGGAATCTATATTTTCAAGATCTTTTTAAGCATGCAATATTTGTCTTAAATGTTGATAAACAGTCTGAAGATGGGTATGGCAGCTTAAGATACGATCAAGATACACGTCCCAAAAGTTCCTTTGCAACTTCTAAGTACTAGATCTAGAATACAAGTAAACGCACTAGGTGCACTTGAAAGCATAACAGACATGACAAATTATTCTTAAAGCTATAGACATTTAAAGTAATATTTTAATGTTAAGAAACAACACAGAAAAAGAAAATTGTTCCTGGCATAATCGCAGACCAAGGAAAATAACGAAAGCATTACTAAAATGATAAGATATGGAAAGGAGCTTCTAAGGAAAAATTGGTTGTTTGACAGTGAAAATATTCCACCAAATTAATGATGGTAAAAATGGTACTTATAAGACAATGACTATATCGACAAATTCCTCAATTGTCAATCTAGGCCATTTACGTAATACCAATTATTTCCTATTTACTTCTAAAACATCTAGGAAAATTGCAACTTATTATCATCTCATCAGTATTTTATTTTATTTTTCAGGTCCACCAATGTTCCACACCATCAACTACATTGTTTTGACCAAATAAATTTATAGTCTACGGCAGCAAACAATCCCATTTGAATAGTAAAATGGCAGTTTCAAGAGAATTTATCCCAATTCACTGCACGGTCCAGTGAATTGGGATAAATTCTCTTGAATGCCATTTTACTAGTCAAATGGGATGTCTGGAAATGGAATTGTTTGCTGCCATAGGTTATAAATTTATTTGGTCAAAACAATGTAGTCGATGGTGTGGTGCATTGTTGGTCTTGGAAAAAAAAAAAACAAACAAACAAACCCGATAAGATAAAAATAAGTTGCAATTTTTCTTGATGTTTTAGGAGTAAATAGGAAATAATTGGTATTACGTAAATGGCCTAGATTGACAATTGAGGAATTTGGCAATATAGTCATTGTCTTGTAACTACCATTTTACCATCTTTAATTTGGTGGAATATTTTCAAGCTCAAACAAACAATTTTTCCTTAGATGCCCTTTTCCATGTCTTATCATTTTAGTAATGCTTTCGTTTTTTTCCCTGGTCTATGATTATGCCAGGAACAATTTTCTTTTTCTATGTTGTTTCTTAACAATAAAATATTATTTTGAATGTCTGCAGCTTTAAGAATAATTTGTCATGCCTATTACCCTTTCAAGTACACCTAGCGCGTTTACTTGTATTCTCGATCTAGTACTTAGATGTTGCAAAGGAACTTTTGGGGTTTGTCTCTTGATCGTATCTTATGCTGCCATACCCATCTTCACACTGTTTACCAACATTTAAGGCAAAATATTGCATGCTTAAAAAAATCTTGAATATGCATTCGGAATAGACTTCTCTCTTTCTATCTGGCATATTGTGCTTGACAATGGCGTTAAGGTTGGTCCTGCACTGTTGAAAGCCATCAAAGTTGACCAACTCCATGACAG